CACGTAGTTGAGATTTTAAACAGCCACCGGGCCCCGGAGGCGCTGTTCAGTGCTCCAGCACCGGGAAGCACTGGCAGAGACGGCATAGCCAGGGCCCAGGCCCCACGCTGCCCTGGCCAGAGTGGCTCTGCTTCTATTGCCTTTAAAAAAAAATCCTCACCAAGAAGTGAAGATACTTTTTCTATTGATTTTTATAGAGAAAGTGGAAGGGGCGGGAGGTGAGGTGGGGGTGGGGGAGAATAATCATTCATGTGAGTTTCATGTGAGAGAGACAGTCCAATTTGGTTGCTTCCTGCATGTACCTTAGCCGGGGTGCGGGAATCAAACCTGCAACCCAGGTGACGTGCCTTTGACCGGAGTTGAACCCGAGACCCTCTGGTGACCAGGCCAGTGCTCTAACCATCGAGCAACCTTTATTTCTCTTCTGTATTAGAGTTCTAAGTGAGATTTTGTATAAGGAGAAGGAAGGGCTGTGTTGGCAAAGCAGTTGGCAAACTGCTCATGGTGGACACCTTGCCCCCACTGTTGGGTTGAAAACACCCCAAACGCGAATTCTGCTGGAGGCCGACTCCGGTGGTTCTCTGGGGAACTCGGATTTTCCCAGAGGCCCCCACGCTCCTCTCTGTTGACAGAGACGGAGTGGCTGCTCTCCCCGTGGCACCTGCCAGCCCCCGTGTTTCATTTTTTCTTTTGTTGTATGGGCTGTTCTGGCCCTGCAGCTCTGCCAAGGCAAAATCAAATTATCTTCTGTCTTGATCCAAATACGTTTTGTCTCAGGGAAAGCCCTGGGCTAGGGAAGCTTTTAGACGATCGGTGAGGCGGTTTTCTCAGCAGACCTCCTGGCGGACACCCCACCTTTCTCTCCCCTCTTTGTGTCTTTCAGTCGGCGGAGTTCTTCGAGATGCTGGAGAAAATGCAGGTGAGCATCCATCCCCAAGGGGGAGAGCCGAACCCTGGGTAGTGGGGGGGGGGTGCTGCAGCGACCTCGGGGGACACAACACCAGGCAGAACCCACGGGCAGAACGTGGGCACCTTGGAGGGAGGGGCAGAGAAGAGAGAACTCACCGTCCCATTGGCCCGGACAGCCCGAGGCCATTTCCACACCGAGTGGCACAGTGGCTTCTGGGATGGCTCCTGCCTGAAGACCAGGGAGAAGATAAAAAACAGAAACTGCATGCAGAGTGGACGGACGGGCTGCCATCAGCCCCACCGGTGTGGGGAGAGTTTGAAAGATGTTCCTGGAATGGGCTGGAAAGAAAGCCTCAAAAAGACAGCCCCTTCGTGGGGGCCTCATCCTGTGCTGGGAGGCAGAGCGGAGGGCGAGAGACAGACCTGAGTTCAAACTCTGCATCTAACGCTGGCTTGCCAAATTCCTCCCCTTTCTAACCTCTCGCTCCTGTTTTTTGTTTACTAACAGACGTGTTCTCCCCTCACTCTGACACCAAACGTGTGGTTGTGTTCCCCCCACCAGACAATCTGTGCAGCCAGCTGGGTTCCACGCAGTTCTGACGCTGTCTCCCTGGAGGTAGTGTCAGCTCCCACAGGGCACGGGCACTGCCCCGGGGGCTGCCTCCGCTCAGATGCCAGTCACAAGTCCAGGTTGCCACGTGGGCTTCTGACCCTCCGGCTATCAATAGGAGGTCCCCACGACCCCCTTTTCCAGTTCAATTAATTTGCTAGCGTGGCTCACAGAACCCAGGGAAACGGTTTACTTACCAGATTGCCAGTTTATGATAAGGACACAACTCAGGAACCGCAGCTGGAAGAGAGGCATAGGGCAAGGCCTGTGGGAAGGGCCCGGAGCGGCCGTGCCCTCTGAGTGCCCCACTCTCCCCAAACCTCCACGGGTCCACCAACCCCAGAGGCTCCCCAAACCCCACCCTTTTGGGTTTTATGGAGGCTGCATTAGGCATGATGGATACAATCACTGGCTATGGGGGATCGTCTCAACCTCCAGCTTCTCTCCCCTCCCCCGAGAGTGGGAGTGGGTGGTGGGTTCCCCTGTCAGTCAGCTCCCATCCTTCGGAAAGTCCCGGAAGACACCTCATTAACATAAACTCACTGACACAAACTCCTTTCGCCGTTATGGCTCTGGAGCTGTTGCAGGAACCAAGGACCAAAGACCAAATCCTAGAACAAAACTGCTCCCAGTGCTCTCATTGCTCTTAGCACTTGGGAAATTCCAAGGGTTTTAGGAGTTCTGTGCCAGGAGCGGGATAAAGACCAAAATATGTATTTCTTACAATAAATCACTATCACAGCCTCTGTAGAGATAGGAGAATGAAAATGTCCACTTGCATCGTTTCTGGGATGAAACAAGATGATTTTTGTAAATGCTTGGTGGGCAGTGCATAGAATCAGTGTGTAGTGTGGAGGCCTTTGTAATTGCTCATCACCAAGAGGTCAGGCTTTCAGGAAGACCCGCTGCCTTAAGGAATATGGGGAGAGGTCCAGAAGGTATAATTGATCCAGGTGGAAGGAGTGGCAAGAACATACTGATAAGTATATTTTAAGCACGGGTCTGGGGTAAGAGGTTGACAGGTGTTATCTCATTTCTTCTTGACAAGGCCCCCAGGAGGCAGGTATGTTGTTATCATCATCATCATCATCATCACCATCATTCCCATTTCACAGGTGAGAAAACTGAGGCACAGAGATATTAAATAAAACACTCAAGGGCTCATGGCTAGCAAGTAGCTCCAGAGCCAGAAGGCATAGTCATTATGTCATGCTTCTTCCCTGAAGTAGATGCTCCAGGCGCAAGGAAGGAAGGATCTATAGGAATGGTCTGGAATAGGAGGAAAGGCACCCAGGGTGCCCACTGCCGTCCTGAGATGCAGGCAGAGCTTCTGAGAGGGCTGCTGCTGTGAGCGAGCCAGGTCCTCCCCGGAAAGCAGGTCTCCCTAAGGATGGGGAAGGGGAGGGTTGGTTTGAGAGAAAAATATTCGTAGTGGTTGTGTCCTTATCACGAGCAAGTTATTAAGATCCTCCTCTGAGCCCAGCAGAGTGTGGACGACCAGCCAACTTAATATGTATTTACACGCATTTAGGGGACTTACAACCAGGTGGCGGGCACGGGGATAGCAGGTGCCTTGACAGCGAGTGCCTACATAACGGAGCGCTCCGTCCGCTGGAGGAAAGCCGGGTCTCACCCAAGCCCGCGGGGTCTGGGCAGCTGGCAGGGCGTCCGCAGCGCACCCTGCCTTCTCTCTGGTTTCTCCACGACCACCCACCCCTCGCCCCCAGGGAGCACCCTGTTTCTCTGTTTGAGCACATGATTCAGCCCTGCGCAACCGGCCTTGTGCTGTTCTGTTGTTGGGAGGCCGCGGGCTTGACTTCGTAGCTCGATCGGAGCCTCTGCAGGGCGGGAGTCTGGCTGCGGCTCCCTCTGTGTCTTCACGGCGGCCCACACCAGGGGCGGCTGCTGACTCCATGGCAGTAGAGACTTGGGGGTCAGATCAGACTCAGTGTTTAGGTCCCTACCATGTGCCCCCTGGGCCCCAGCCTCTGAGAGGCCGGGGTTTCCAGCTCCTCTGTATGTGGGGAACTCACATGGGAGAACTCGATGGGGATTCTGTCCCTGAGTGAGGGTGCCGTCTGGCCTCGTGCTGCAGTGTGGGGCCTGAAGCCCAGCAGGCAGGCGCCCAGGGCCTCTGTGACCCAGGACTCCTGACCCCAGCCCTAGAGGCTGGGAATTTGAAGACGGGCACAGGTTCTGTGTAGCACAGTTTTGGGTCCTCTCTGTTCTGGGTTCAAGTTCTAACGCTGACAGGCTGAAGCGGAGTGACCTTGGTCAAGCCGTTCGACCCCCCTGAGTCCCAATGTCTTCATGGCAGGGGCGGTGGGGGGGGGGGAGATAATGAGGGGAGAGGGCCCGGTGCCCGCAGTGGCTCTGTCACGGTGGAGGGGAGGGGACAGGAGGAGGTTTGTTCTCCGGCCCAGGGGCTGTTCCCAGGCTGGGATGACTCATGCAGGACAAACAAAACAAACTTCTGACGTCACGCCCTTCCCCACCCGCCCAGTTTGCCTCCCTGGACAGGGTCTGTAGGCCACCCAGGTGGTTTCCTCCCTGTGTGGGGAGAGGAGCACCTGCCCAGTGGGAGGGGCCCCCACGCCCACCTGACCAGGGCTGCAGGGTGACTCAGCCCCGAGAGGTGGGAGGAGCCTCTAGTCTGCCCAGGGAGCAGGAACCCTTTGGTCGTGCACTTGGTGGACAGATGGGCCCGGCTTCAGAGCCAGGGCCTCCCACGCACTAACTGTGTGACATTCTGCATGCAGCTTCTTCCTGTGCCTCGTTTCCACTTTGGTAAAAAGGTGCTGAGGGCTTCAGATGGACGGTAGACGGAGTGCGCTGTGGAAGATTCAAGTCCCCGCTCTTCCATTGTGACGAGGCAGCAGCTGCTTCCGGACTCTCTTCTCTCCTACTTGTCCCACCGATGATGTGGATTGATTCACGTGCCTGTGGGGACGCCATGTGCTCTCCTCTCACGAACACCAGTTAAGTGGGAACTTGACCGTAGAGCTAACGGTCTAGGCCAGTGATGGCGAACCTTTTGAGCTCGGCGTGTCAGCACTTTGAAAAGCCCTAACTTAACTCTGGTGCCGTGTCACATATAGAAATTTTTCGATATTTGCAACCATAGTAAAACAAAGACTTATATTTTTGATATTTTTATATATTTAAATGCCATTTAACAAAGAAAAATCAACCCAAAAAATGAGTTCGCGTGTCACCTCTGACACGTGTGTCATAGGTTCGCCATCACTGGGCTAGGCACTGTCCCTGCAGTGAGTCTTCCCGATGCTGCAGGGTGTAGGGGGCCATTTAACCCAGGCCCCGCCCCCTGTGGTGTCTGCTCCTTGCAGGGACACATCTGTGAGGGGGAGGGCGGGTGTTAGAATCCTCATTTCACAGAGGAAACGAGGAGCGCTGCAGAAGGCTTAGCATTGTGAAGCGTTACTAATAGCAGGACAGTGGCAGAATGAGGACCAGGCGCAGGCCACCTGCCTGCCACCCATGGGCCCTCTCACCAGGGAGGGGGTGGAGCTGGTGTGGCATGAGACCCAGAGTCTGGCTCTGACCCCCACAGACATGGGTTCCCTTCCTGCCCCTCACCTCATCCTCTGGGAGACTGGGGGCGATATTTCAACACCATGACGACGATACTGCCTACCCCGGGATAGCAATACGCCATAGCCTTTACTCTATGCCGGTCATTCTTCCACGGGCTTAACCTGTTATCCACATTTTACCTTCACCACCATCGTAGGTGCCCTTACTGTTCCCATTTTACAGCTGGGAACACTGAGCCACAGAGAGGTGACTTGCCCAAGGTCGTAAGGTCATAAGTGACAGTGTTGGGATTTGAACCCTGGTGATCTGGCTGAGTCCATGCCCTTCACCCCCTGCCCTGCTGCCTTGAATGGGCTGCTGTGAGGTCTGAGTGTGCCGAGGTGTGTGACTTGCAAGGGCCCAGCACGTGGCAGCCCTTGGCCGTTATTACCACTGACCCCCAGCGAAGGCAGGTGCTCCCCAGGGTCTCCTTCCTCCGTGCCGTCTCTGTTTTGTGGCTCTTGCTTTTCCATGGATCCTCTTTTCCTTGTTTCTGCAGGGGATCAAGCTTGAAGAGCAGAAGCCGGGACCCCAGAAGAACAAGGTGGGCTGGGTGGGCGAGGTGGCAGCCAGGTGGGCCCCGTGAGGGGGCCAGGTGAGAGGAAGGCAGGGGCAGCGGCCAGCATGCTGGGGTCTGCTGTCTCACACCATCTAACTCTGATTTTCACCTTGTTGACCAGGGCATGGTGAGCAGGAAGGCAGGCCTTAGCTGAGCCTTTAGGCACCTTCAGAGCAGGCTGGGGTGGAGGACTCTGGGGAGACCTGAGGCTCTCGGTGTGCCCTGCTGCTCGCACGCACACCTGCTCCTG